GTCTCTCAAACACTTAAAACTCACATGGGTTGGCTTGAGCACTTATGAAACATTATCTATCAACATGATGCATTCCTCTTAATTGTACGACATTCCTATTAACTCAAATTTAAAATTATAACGAATTTAAACCTTTTGAGTTGATCTTTTTCAACTGAAGCCGTGTATTCCACTCTTCATCAAGTGAGGGTGCCAACATGTTGATATTGATCTTTTCACTTGAGCATAGCCATCTTGAGCACGTAACTTGATTCCATTCATCAAATTTGAATAATCCCAAATGTATCAAGTCACTTCCATCAAACACTCCAATAGTGATTTGATCCTCCACATTGACATGACCATCATAGCTTGATTAGTTCCTCAACTAAATGCAAGTACTTCCTTCTTCACCCTAGCTAGGTTCTTCGGCCACCAAGCCATCCCTTGCCCTTCACCCTTGCTTAGTACCTCGAAGCCTTTCCTTGCTATCTTCACCATCTCAAGCCATCAAGTCACATCTTGTGTTGAATCATCCATTCATTTATATTGTTATCTTTTTCATTTTAATTTAGCAAGCTTCAAATATGAGACCATTCCATATGCAATCCCTCATGTCTCATTAATTAATTCTTACGAGCTTGCTTTCACATAGTACATGAAAATCCCACAATAAATAAGCATTTGTATGAATTCCATTTGCATTGTTGTCTTGTGCTTGAACTAGATTGTTTATACAACAACACATCATTTTGGCTTTCATTAAGTATCGGTGAGATAACCTATTACCTGTCCACACTTAGCAAATGGGTTAGACCTTTAATCATGTTGTCATTCAATCATCCAAAACCCACTAAAGGGCTAGATGCACTTTCAGCCTGCCACCGGCGAGCCACTCCCTACTCCTCGTCTCCTCCTACCTAATCCCCTCCCTCTCTGCCTCTCCCTTCTGCCTCTCTCTATCTCCCTTCTTGATCTCGATGATTATGTGAGTTCATGTCCTTGACTCCCCGTCTGTCCCTCCTTCGTCGCTCGCCGTCCTTCTAGCCGGTGTGTTGTTTTCTCTGGGTGGCCCTTGTCTTCTCCGGCACCAAGCTCCGGTTGCGCAGGTACAACCCTAACCCTAACCCTAACCATAACCCTCCTCTTCTTCCATTGATGATTGATCTATTCTGATCTGTTCTTTTCCTCCTCCATCTCTTTGCGCAGGTCGGTGGCCGATGCGTCGTCCTCTAGTTGTGGCATAGAGCGACCAAGGCTACCCCACGCACCGTTTAGGTACGGTGCTAGAGAGCCCTTCGTGGTCGAGGGCGCCATGGCTGGTGCTGATGACGAGATCATCTGGCTGATCACTGGCAAAGATTATCTAATCACGGTAGGCCTAGCCCTTGAGGACGATGACGACACCCATGAGGACGCTGCTGCCTTGTTCGGTATCGATGTCGGTGGCGACTCTGCTGCTTCGATCGATCTGGCTGGTGGCGGTGGTGAAGGGGCGACGGTGACTGGGACCCTGGCCTGCTCCAATGGCTCAGCTCCATCTGTTGTTGGTAACTCTTCTAGTGTTGGTACTAGTAAGCGTAAATCTGCTGTGTGGGCTGATTTTGATGAGATCTACGAGACTGTGAATGGTAGGAAAATCTACACTAAAGCTACCTGTAAAATGTGTAAGCCTACTTTGTCTGCTAGATCTAATGTTGGCACTGGCCACTTGAAGAGGCACTAGAAATCTTGTAGGTAGAAAATTGATCAAGCTATTAGGGTTCAGTTTAGGCTTACTTATAATCCTGATGGTTCTGTGCATAACTGGGACTATAAACCTGATTTTGCTAGATCTGAATTGTATTGCTTGATTGCTAGGCTTGATTTGTTGTTGGGTATTGGTGAGACAGATGCATAGGAGGAGTACATTGTTTGTGCTCATAACCCTAGGTTTACTAAGATTTCTAGACAGACCACCACTATAGATCTTAGTAAGCTATTTACTGAACGTCGTAATATGCTTAAGAATTCTGTGTTGTCTGGTGCTTCATCTGTTACTTTGACATCAGACATTTGGTCTGGTAATGCTAAGGAGGACTACATTAGTGTTGTTGCTCATTATGTGAGTGCTGATTGGGAGTTACAAAAAATATTATTGGTCTGAGGTTGATTGAGGTGAAGCATATTGGTGAAAAAATTGCTGAAAAAATTGCTTGTGTGGTTGAGGAATTTGGTTTGATTGACAAGGTTTTCTCTCTAACTCCAGACAATGTTTCTTCTAATGCTAAGGCTATGGATACTTTGACACATATGTTTGTTGGTTATTTGGGTTGTGATCCTTCACCTGAGCCTGTAAATCCAAATCAGAGTAAGTATAGTTTTGTGCATCAACATTGTGCTTGTCATATCATTAATCTGATTATAAAATATGGTTTAAAGAGGTTCAAACCTTACAAAAAAGATTTTAGAACTGCTATTAATTTTTAAATTCTTCTAATCAAAGAATTGCTATGTTTAAGAACTACTGTACTGCTCAGGATGTTAGACCTAGAAAGTTTGGCTTAGATATGGATGTTAGATGGAATGCTACATACCTTATGCTTAAACACTTGGTTTCATATAAGGATGTTTTTTCTGTGTTCATTAATGCAAATTATGGCTCAACATTGTTGACTACAAGGCATTGGTATATAGCTAAAAGATATTAGAGTTCCTGAAAATATTTTATGAATCTACAGTTGTTCTTTCTGGTGTTTACTATCCAACTAGTCCACTTATTCTACACCATCTGCTAGACATTGCTTCTCATTTGCATGCAAGTGAAAAAGTTCAAAATCTAATAGATGTTGTCTATCCTATAAAGCTTAAATTCTTTAAATACTGGCAGGATATACCTTTATTATATTCATTTGCTTTCGTTCTTGATCCTAGAGCTAAGTTTAGAGGTTTATTTAATGTTCTGTAAATACTTAAAAAGAACACTGGTGTTGATTACCGTTCATATTATGTTGATGTGAAAACTGAAATTTACAAGTTGTTTAACAAATATGAGAAAAAATTTGGTGCAGCTATATCTCAGAGGCCTGCATAGCCTGCAACCCATCATCTGGTGTTGTTGGTCCTTCCCCTGCCTCTGTCCGCACTTCATCTCAATCTGCTTCTGCTGCTGGTTGTGAGCTCACAGCTTATCTAGACAGTGACAATGTCACTGCATATGAGGATGACTTCGACTTACTTCTCTGGTGGCGTGACCACAAATTAACCTATCATATCCTATCTATAATGGCTAGAGACATTATGTATCTTCCTGTTTCTACTGTCTCTTCGGAATCATGTTTCAGCTTGACAGGAAGGATAATTGAAGAGCGGTGACGACGCTTGTTGCCTGAAACTGTGGAGATGCTGGCTTGCATAAAGGATTGGGAGTTAGGAGAAAGAAGGTTACAGCATGTTATTGACAATCCTTCAAGAATCTTTATCTTGATGAAGATGCATCTGGGGCTGCTGCTGCTAGCATATCTGGGGCTGCCACATCTAGATCTACATATGTGGCTTCTGCTGGTACTTAGTGTGTGAGAATTGAGAGTGATTTGTTATCTTTGTATCTGTGATGTGTGACTGATACTGGTGAACAATGGTTTAAGCCTTAATTAAGAGCTGCGCTGCACTTTTTTTTCCTTTTTAGTGTTTCTCACAACGGTGAATTTTATCTAGAAAGGTTTTTAATGAGACAACATTGCACAAACAGCTCAGTTATCTTAATTCCCTTGTCTCCCTTGATGGGTTTTGTTAGAATTTAGAATCTGTGATCAGTTTATTACTTGTGAATGTGAAATACTGAAATATGAATGAATTATGAAATATGATTGTGAAAATGGAGAAGTGTTGGATGAGAGAAGCAGTTTGAGGTGTTTTAAAAGCACCGGACGGGGGCTGGCACGACCCGTGGATTTGGTCGTGCTTTGCGGGCCGGCACGGCACGGATTTCGGTCCGTAGGACCGTGCTTGGGCTGAAGACTAGGCACGAGACCCGGGTGGACACGGCGTGCCGTGCCAACCCGACCCTCTGCGGGGCCGAGCCTGGCCCAGGCCCAGGCCGGCCCGTTGGCCAACTATACCGCCATTGGAGTGAATGAAAGCTCGTAGGTACGACTTGATAGGATAGGACCACAGTTTGGTGGTGGCTTTTGATGATTGTTGGTTAATTTCTTCTGCAATAGGAGTATGTAGCGGCCAGTGGACATGCCGGTGCGGCGAGCCTGCTTCCGGGGTGCACGGGAGACCACGACGGTTGGTGCTCTCCGGTACAGCTATTTAAGCAGGGATCAGACGTTGTTTTCGATCGAGCGGTAATCAGGGGATATATGAGAGGAAAGCATACTACAACCTCACAACGGATACTCCAGAGGTGGAGCAAGAACCACCAGCGCAGAGATCTTCCGGAGAGAAGATACCTCGTTGGACGGCGTTGCCATCGAGAACTGCAGGGGGTTTTTTTTTCTTTTTTTTTAGAACTGCAGGTTTTCCAAGCCAAGAATGTTTTTGGTTTATGGACAAGCCAAGAATGTTGGCAGCCCAGAACGCAAGCCTGGCTCACGATGGATGCGGCCCAAAAGTCCATATTAGGCCCAGCCGACTGGACAGCTTGATTCACGTGCCATGGACCAACCGTTCTCCACGGCCTGTCCCGTGATTGTTTGGGTCGGGCTCTAGCCCCGTGTGGGCCTTGAGTTCTGAACACCCCGACCCCGAGCCTTCGGCGATCATTCACCGAGAGAAAACGCCACGAGCGGCGAGACGGTCGGCGGCATATTTTTCTTCCGCATTGACGGTGGGGCCCGCCGCCGGCCAAACGTTAGGACAGGGTAGGGAGAGAGAGAGAGCTCGAACTAGCCAGGCAGCCCCCAACGGCTGCTGGCTCGTGAGAATCGAGTCGAGTCTATTTCTGCACGCGCTTCCAGGGTTTTTAGCTGCAGCGGCATCAGGGCAGGGAGAGAGCGATAGTTTTCTGTTCTAGTGGAGGAAGAGCAGGGAGCAAGATGGGGTCCGGATCTTTCCTCAAGGTGCTGGCCAATAACTTCGATGTCCTTGCCGGGTATGGTATTTTTTTCTCATCCTGTTGTTTTCGACCCCCAGGCGATTCATTGATTCTTGCAAGATGCAGCGTTTTCTCTCGGTGGCTTTTCTGTACGAGCGAGCGAGGTTGATCCCGATTGTTGCTATACCGAGCGGCATGGGGGAAAGTGTGCGCGACGGGAATCTTCCGTTGCGGGTGGTTGGGTTGCTGTGGATGAACGCGTTTGGGTTCTCTCTTCCCGGGGATCTCGGTGCTGCGATGAAACTGTGCGATGGGTAGTTGTGGGCTTGTGGCTAAATACTTGATTTTGCGATGGGATTTGAGTGCTTAGGTCAATTGATTGGTAGGATTAAGGTTGGGTTTACTACAAAATCTTACCAACAACTGTGGAAGGAAACTCACTACTAAAGGTTTCCTTTTTCATTGGTAGATGATAGTAATCAATCAGGGCATCTTGGAACTGTTTGCATAGTGGTATTGGAATCCAAATCCTTCAAATTTAGTTCAAAAATTCAACCCCCATACACCAGATATTTCAAGGTTTCCATGCTGGGTCTTCAACTTCGACTGTCTGTGTTATTGATCAGTATCCTGATTTCAATGTTTAGTGACTTTGCCTGTGATGTAATATCCTGCATTGTTTGTGCGCCATTTTGTTCTGTTCAAAGCCACCATGTTGTACTTCTGTAGCTTGGCCCTAGTTTTGTTGCTGGCTACATTCCCTGGATCCACTACATAAGATTGCGCCGCTACCAAACTTGTTATTTTATGGGGAGCATTTGTACACCCAATGTGAAAGTTGTCATGCTGCAGACAGAAAGCTGCAGAAATAAGTGGTTTATTAGCATTAGGTTAGAAAGCATGGGTTCAAAATGTTCTGAAAAGAGCCAATGCATTAAAGAACTGTTGGCCCTGATGTCATGTGAACTAGTACAGCGGCATCATAGTTATCTGCATTTTCATCTTCATGGACTAGAGAGGATGGAGCTGACTTCCACCGAATGAATTTTATTTATTTTAATAAATGACAATGTCACATACCATATTATTTGGGGTACAGAGCTTACTCTAGGAAGTAAATATGGCAGCTGTTAGCTATATGACTGAGATAGATTACCAAATGCTGTCAATGTAAATTCTAAGTTTCTGGTGGCCCTTTGTCTGACGGTGCTTTCTTCTGGTGATACTGAGTTTCTCTTTTCCCTTTTGTTTTCAGGCCACTCATATCACTTGCTTATCCTCTGTAAGTATCACCTTTGTCGTTAATTGACTGTCTCTCGTTTTTTCCTCTTGATACTATGTGAGCATGTTATATTGCTAATCACTTTCTGTTTTGGCACCTTTGCAGATATGCTTCTGTTAGAGCAATAGAGACAAAAAATCCTGTAGATGATCAGCAGTGGCTCACTTACTGGGTGTTGTACTCATTTATCACTTTGTTTGAGTTAACTTTTGCTCCAATTATCGAGTGGTAAATAGTCATGTCCCAATGTGTTCATTTTTATGGTTTTTTGGTGGCCTTTGTTATTATTTGCAAACATCAGTGGTGGTACATGGATATAGCTGTGTTTGGTGCATCAAGTTGGTGAATAGAAAACTAGATATGCTCACTTTAGATCTTTATTTGCAGGCTTCCATTTTGGTCATATGCAAAGCTGTTCTTTAACTGCTGGTTGGTCTTACCTTGGTTCAATGGTGCTGCTTATGTTTACGACCATTTTGTGCGGCCAATGTTTGTGAACCGCCAAATAGTGAACATATGGTATGTTCCAAGGAATGAGGAGCTAGGTAAATCTGATGATGTTCTGTCAGTTGCAGAGAGATATATTGAGCAAAATGGACCGGAAGCATTTGAAAAGCTCATCAGCAAGGTACTCATATTCTGAACTGTTTTTTTTTTAACCGAGGAACACCCCATTTCCATTACGACATAACGGAAGTAAAGTAGTTTGAAAGCATCACAAGAAAGAAGAAACAAGAAGAGAACTGTGACTCCATCCAGATTAGTTAAGCATGATTCTCTGATTCAGAGCATCAACGCCGACCAAAGGAAACACCTGAATCTACCAGTTTAAACTACAAAAGTATCAGGCATTACAGCCAATTGGACAACATAATGCAGAGAGCCAAAACACAATTCGGCTGTGCTATTTCTGCAGCAGCTGCAGCTGCTGGCTGCCTACTTCCTTCTTTCCAAATACTGTAGACGTGAAGTCCTTGCTGCAGCAGCAGCTGCAGCGCTTGTTGCAGCAAGCACTTCCGATCAGGCTGAATTCATCCTCAGTGCAACAACACAGTGCTTGACTCGGGCCACCCATCTTCACATCACATCAGCACCATCCTCACCACCCTGGGAGTCTTGCAGCTGGAGTTGCTTGTTCTTCTTGGAGTCAGCCAAAAGACACTTCGCCACCTGTAGCATTATGTTGATGCTTTCCTCAAGCTCCTCCTGAGTCTCTTTTGGATAAAGGCTTGTCTAGTAATTCATTAGACCACATGCATAACATATAATTTCCACAGGACTTCTAATCGTTTTCTTTCCAAAACAAGCTTTGTTCCTGGTTTTCCAAATAGCCCAACAGTTCACAGCTATGCCAAAATTATATAACTTCTCACCATTTGGTAGCCACTTTTTGAACAAAACCCAAAATTGACGGTGAAACTGCCATTTTTGTTAGACTTCCTGGAGATAACATCATTGTCCTCCTGAAACACAACCCCTCTCGCTAGAGATTGGATGTGCCAAATAGACCGAAGGTCCCAAGGAAGCCAATGCCTAAAGCGTAACTGGAAATCTTCCTCTTTGGCTTTTTAAACAGAGATATCTTGCTGCTCACATAAACAGAACAAAATATATGATATTTGTGAAGCAAGTAATCTCCAAAACAAAGTGTTTTCACCTTTTCTCAAAAAAAAAAATCCCTTCCCTGAAGATAGATTGACTTGATTTTTAGCAGATCTGCCCAAACTGGAGAGTCATCGTGCTTTTTAGTTATCAGACAAATTGATTGCCCTTCATTATATTTAGCATTGACAATTTCTTGCCAGATCCCCTTTTCATGTTTAAGTTTCCACCACAACTTGACTAAGAGGCTGATATTAAGCTTCCTGAGGTCTTCTTTTATGCCTAAAGCCTAAACCACCTTTCTTTTTGCTAGCACAGACCCTTGTCCATTTCACTAACTGGTATTTTATTTCTTGACACTACCCCCTTGCCAGAAGAAAGCCTTCTTACTTTGTCCATGTCATTAATTACAGTTTTCTGAAGAAGATACATGGACATGTGGTAAATCGGGGTATTAGACAAGCTAGTGTAATCATAGTAGACAAGCTACTGTTCTGAACTGAAATTATTGCAAATAAACTAATGGAGTATTTTCCTTCAGTAACGCCATTCCTCTTATCTAATACAAGGCTGATACATTGCTGCCAATGATGCCACTTACTTTCTTGCAAATCTGCTTTTACGAATATGAAGCACATTTTGTTGGACTCCAGTCATCCACCTGCAAATCGTGTATTAGTATTATCCAAGGTGGTATATTTATGCGGTTTTGCCTGTTACAGTACTGCATACCATTGCCGGAAAATGTGAATGGAACTTCTCCACATGCATTTGCATGCTATAGTATCAATTATTTGTGCTCCATCTCTTGGTTTAATCATCACCACAGCCACTTGATAATTACTTAATTGCAGTCTACAAAGTCTTTGAAATCAAGGAACACAAAACGGTCGATCCTGGAGGAGGCAGAGCCTGAAAACAGAGCTAAGGCTGAAAGAGAATCGTGGGGTGAAAATCCCTTCTACGACAAAAATTACAGATACTAAATCACGCCAAAATCCATTCGGCAGGTTAGTGGAATCATAATGTGAAGGCAATTTTTCCAGTAATTTGTTTTCTGTCGTGTTTTTTCAGTTTCGAGCTTCTCCTTGACAGCTTGAAGACGACCTTGCTCACGAGCCTCATGCAAAGCTTTGGTTGGCCACGTCACAGACTGAAGACGACTTTCCCATATTTCTGACTCTGAGTACTAGATCAATTGTGGACTGTAAATGGAGGTAGATGCTAGCGATGATCATTTATGTGAGCTTTTGTATATTATATACAGTGGACTGTGTTATCTCCTGCGTTTCTCCCTTCTGGCCGTGTGCTCTGCTGGAATTTCGAGCGAACAGATTTCTCGTGATTTTTTTTTTAGAAATTTGCTATTTCAGTCACAAGATTTCTTTCAAGAAATATGTCAAGTTTCTTGCCTCACGATTCAGCAAAGAGATTCGTGCTGCACTTCTTCTCTTTCATCTTCGATGATCATCACCTCCGGTGAGGTGAAGGTTTATTATGGGTTCAGGGTTGTGGAGATTTTGTGTGGTTTCTCAGCTGTAGAGGGATGCCCCGGGAGGCCATCGGTCGGTTTCGGTCCAGAGGGGGTGGTGGGTCAGCGGCTGGCGCGCGAGATATCTGTCCATGCAATGCAAGATCCAACGGCGGATGCGGTGTTAATAAGAGGAGTGAGTATTGTTAAATTTGGTTTTACTTTTACCATGCTTGGTAACAAGAAGTCAACAATAACAAGATCCAAGAAGGACGGCGAATGCCCTCCATGTTTGCCGCTTGTCGTACTGACGAAGGTGATGCTGCTGCATGCCCGCCAGTTTTGGCGACGAAAGATGAACTGCCTGCATGCTGAGGCTAGAAACCAGGACTCGTCGTCTTCCGTCTTCGTGGCCGGCCTCCTCCGCTGCCAAGAAATAAACGCACAAAAATTTCGAATCAATAGGAACATCACAGCCGGACCAAGAAATCAATTCCTAGGCCTCTGATCGATGGCATTGGTCCCCATCAAGCAGCTGGACAGCCCCTGCGGCTACCTGCGGTGGAAGGAATCGGTGCTCCTCCGCGTCCACACCCTCGGCGTCACCCGCGTGCTCTTCGAGGACCGCCCCACTGGCGACGGCGACGCCGGCGACGACGCCGTGGCGCAGGCGGCGGCCAAGAAGTGGGCGCGCGACGACGCCGTGTGCCGCGGCCACATCCTCGCCACGCTCTCCGACCGCCTGCTACCGGACTATCAGCGCTTTGCCACCGCGGCGGACCTGTGGCGCGCCCTGGCGCGCACCTACCACGTGGACACGCCGCGCGTCTGGCGGGACAAGTTCGACGCGTTCGAGTTCGAGGAAGGAGCCGGGGGCGTTTTCCTGGAGCAGATCGCGCACGCGGAGGCCCTGGGCGTCGCCGCGAGGCTCCCGGAGGGCTTCGTCGCCTACGAGCTCTGCGGGAGGCTCCCGGAGGTCGTCAGCGACGCCGTCGTCATGCGCTCCGGTCCTGACAACGAGATGACCATGAGCTTGGTCTGGGATGTCGCACGGCGTGTAGTGGCTAGTGGCGCAGGACCGGAACGTCTCTGGAGGACGGCGACGGTGATGGCTGACGAGGCGGAGGGCTGCTGTTCCGACGTTCCAAAGCCGGAGCAGAGCACGGGGCGCAGGAACCGTGGCGAGCCTGGACATGTTGCCAAGAACTCCAGGCGTAGGGTTTGATCGGTGACGGGCGGGGGCGCAGAGCTCTTTTGTGTTATCAGATGTCAGATCAACCCATATCTAAAGTTGTTTGGAACTGTGAGAATCTTCATAGACCACCTGATTCCAGTGACCTGCAGACTCATGAATCATCTTGCGATGGAAATAGCATTCTGACCGATGCAGAATGGATCGAGCAATTGAAACCGGTGTTCACATCACTGCACCTGCAGGCCAGAAGTACCTCAGGCCGTCAGGCGTGTGCGTTTTAGGTATTGGCGCATTCTAGCACCATCTGATTCAGATGTGCCTCTCCGCTCTTGGCTTTTACCATTGGATGGATAATATTTCTTGTATACTTTTTGTTGACTGCATCTCTTGTTTATTCATCGACTGTTGATTTAGTTACAACTTGCAATAGATTTTTGCTTTTACTTATATTGTCGAATATGGCTCTTATCTGAGTTTTAGAGATGCACTAGTCAAGGCACTTCAGAAAATGATTGTAAATCCCTAAGGGCTTGTTCGTTTAGGGCGGGTTCCGGGTAGGAATCAATCCTGGTGAGCACTTTCTATATAAATTAGACAAGCAATCCTGGCTGGAATGATTCCAGGGCACGAATCCATGTCAACCGAACGCAGCCTAACTTTATTGGTGCCTTCTTGGATTTCTCAGTCTCATGATTACTATTTTTAGTTTCTTACTGACCTGCAGCAGGAGACGTTTCACTGAACAACAAGCAGAGCTATGCTGGGCTGAACACCGATCGACACTGCAAGAGCAATATGGTAGAAGACTAGAGACAGTATCTTCCCATCAAGAACAATTCGAGAAAATAAAAGGGGTAGTGTGCCATAATCTTCGACTGACTGGTGCACATATTAGCTTTTTCCTGCCTGCAACTGTATATTTCCTTTTGTTTGTTTGAGGGGTAAAGGTGTATGTGTTAGTCAGTTCGTGGCAGCCACTCTGTTTTTTCTTCTGGGCAGGTGATTTCAAGCAATGGGAGGTGTGTGTGCTGGAGATTGAGCTCATTGAATTCCTTGCCATCACCCCTGGGCTCCTGCCTGATGAAGTCGCTTGTTGTTTATATCTTCCATCGTGGCCTTCTTCTTTGTACGGAAGATACAGTGGATGCTGAGGTTTCATGAAAAACAGCACATCATAGATGGTGTCATAGCTTATAGTAGCAATGGGGTCATTTGGATAGGAAAACTGGCTTGGAGGGCTAGTTCGTGCAAAATGTCTGCAGTGGCTGTTAACCTTTACCTAGGTAATTCTTGTGTTCCAAGTGGTCAGGTTGTCACCTGCATCCTTGGGGTGTTCTAATTGGTATTTCAGACGTTCAAAGCTGCCTTTACCTGTACTCCCTCTCCCTGTCTCCCTGCAGGTACTTGATCTGGCAGATTGGCACCCTGCAAGGCTCCAATATATGGTCTGACTCTACCGTAAATATACGAGTTAGAGGTTCACCCTTCGCATCCCCTTGACAACCCGTAACTGGTAGAGGATAGCTGTTTTCATGCAATTTGGCTTGATTCGTATTTGATCTCGCTCCCTGATTTTATGATATTGATTGAATTGAATATTGGTTGCAACAAGGCTCCAAAAGAAGAAGAAGAATAAAAAGGCATGGTTGGAACTTACCATTTTGGCGACCTTCTTTTTTTCTGAACTCGTATATATACTCCTGGACAGTGGAAACTATGTACATTGTGCCACTGAGGTCTCCTAGACCCCGAGGTGATACACTGAAAGTCTGATACCCTTGGATTTCAGTTCGTCCATGCGGCAAGCTGGGTTGAATGTAGAAACATAAAGAGATTTATATGACAATGAAACAGGTTTGGAGTTGGGATTTCAACCCAATCAAAGCAAATTTGATCCATTGATGCGCTGCAAGACGACTAACCTGCAATTTGGCAGTGGATTGACAGCCTAAAAGGGGCTAGGTGGATGTTCCATTTCTACTTGATAAAGAGCAACATAGGGAACCTGCTTGGAATCGTCCGTCAGATCAGCTGACTTAAGGAGACAAGTCGATTCCAGGGGAATCCCTGCCTTCAACCTCCACTCCAGCCACGCACACACCAGGAGCAAAAGGACAAAGGAGTGCCATTCCGATTCGTAATCCCTCTATTCCAATTAGACAATTCGAACGACTGATCTGTGAACTGCGATCGGGCATTGACTAGCATCCGACCATCCGTGTATCCCGCCAGGCCACCACGTCGCCGGACACATTCACGTGCAGTCGGTCTACGCGTTCGTCGGCGTTCCTGGGAGGAAGAAGCTAGGCACGAGCCTCCATTTCAACCGACCCTGCCGCCTCAATTCCTCGTGCGACGACACGGCGAAGGTAAAGTCCCCACGTCGAGACGGGCTGGAGCTTGACCGACCGCCGATCGATGCAGAGGGCGGTCGTCACGAGCCTTTCGTCCGGCCTGCTCCTCCCATTCACCGGGAGGGCGACGACAGGCCCGAGTGACCGCCGCGCATGCGCATGTACAGCGCACAGCCAGACCTGTCGGCGCGTCCGTCGCGGCGTACGGCCCGGCAGCCGGCACGACACGCCGGTGGGGCTGGGGCCACGGCATGGCATCCCATGCAATGCAACGCGAAGCGAGGTATGTAGACAAGTAACAGCAGTGCACTCACTGGCTGCCAACTAGTGTCTCCTCCTCTGCTCTCATCAGACACACTGGCTAGCTAGCGTCCGCGAAACAGACCCGACGTTTGGCTGTTACTGTCCTAATAAAGTACCCTGTGGCTTGCTTAATTAGGCGTCGCGGCACGTAACGACGAGCGCGCGATTAGATTGGATTGAACAAGCTAGCTGCGGGAACAGTGCAGTAAACAAAGCGAGATGACAGATGAGACGACAACACATATATATAATATAATGGATATATATTACTAGTACAGGTTGATCGATCGGTAGCTCGCGGTCGGTCGGTTGTGTGTGAAGGGGAAACAACTCGATGCGGGCCACAGATAGGTTTACATTACACGACGACGACGAGAAGGAAGAAGATGGGGAAGCTTGCCAAGAGTACAAACAAATGAAAAAAGGAGCTACTACTAGCAAGCAAACAAACAACGAAGAGCGGCAAAGTGCGTGGAAAGGCAGAAACCATACTTAGGCGGCGGCCCTGCTAGCTAATGGCTAATAACGCCCTACCAAAGCAAGTACTTCATTGTACTACCAATTAATAAACCAGCCAGCTTCTCGTCGGCGTCCTTAGGTATATTCAGCTGCTATATGGTACACTCAGCATGCATTACGCTGAGAGCTAGCTAAATCGACGAGAGGTCGTTCATGGAGACAGTCGCCATGGCCGGCCGCGGACGGACTTCAGCTAGCGGAGGAGGCTGCGGATGATCTCGGCGCCAGGGCTGTTGTGGTCCATGGTGGCCATGAGGTCCGACAGGCGGTCGCTCAGGTCGTCCACCTCCCGGTGCAGGCTCTTGATGTAGCTGCACGTCTCCTTGAGCAGCTTCGTCGTCGACGCCTGCAGCACGCATCATCGTTTACATCAGACCACGACCTTGTCCTGGAGCTAGACCAGCACAGGCTACACATATAGGAGTACGCACGCACGTCGTACGTACTTGTTGCAAGCGGTGGCACTACAGCTATAGTATGTCTCTAGCTTTATGGATGTGTGTCGGTGTCAGCAGTGTCAGTACTGGCTACTCAGTGCCGTGAGAGAGCTAGCTAGCTACCTAGCTTGTGTCTGCACATGAACATTCATGCCTGCTGTATGTGCGCCTGATCATGCATCGGTTGCTCTGAATGCGCACGCGTACGTACCTGGCTGCCGCCACGGCGGCGCGCGCTGGGGAGCAGCGTCTGCAGCCTGGAGATAAGCTCGTTGATCTCCTCCTCCGAGACCGACGCGCGGGACCTCCGGCTCGACATCGTCGTCGTCGTTAGAGAGAGAATGCGGCGAAGACCGGCCGGCCGGGATCGAGGAGCGACCGGTGACGGAGACGACGATCGATCGAGGAGAGCACCGAAGAGCGAGCGAGCTGAACGCCGGGGTGCAGCTAGCTGTGCTGTGCACGATCCGATCGAGCTCAGTAGCTATCTGATGAACGCTGGAGGCTGGACGGCTCTGAAGTGTGGCGATGGGAAGCAGAAAGGGAGGGGGGCCTTAATTTATAGGGGAGCCGGCCAGACGGGGATGGGGGAGTTAGTTAGCTGCTGCTACAAAGTAGTAGGTCCGCCTAGCCGAGCAGCAGCGCCCCGAGCTTGAGGTAGTAGAGAAGCCGGCCGGAGTCAGGGGCTCAGGGCAGCGGGCACAGGGAACAGGAAGATGTAACGCGATCCGTCGTGCAGTCCGTTCGTTTGACGTATTTAACTTATAAGTCATGACTTATCAGTCAATAAATAGTATTTTTCTCTCACATTAAACTAGTCAACGATACTTTCAACCATGGCTTATAAACCAAACAAGTCCAAACGAACGTGGCGCCAAGACAGTGATGTGGTAGAGAAATTGGCCCGCTGCTGTTGCACGCATCTACAGAGAATTTGGGGGTTTTGGGGTCCGCGTGTCCCTCTCTTGCTGTCAGCATCGGACGCCGACGGGCCCAAGGTCTAGGTATGAGTTACAGCCACAGACCAACCTCCCACTCCACTTGCCACGTGCCAAGGAATTCTTTCAGCTATGAATGTGTATAAAAAGGCTATTTTTAGTGAAGAGATTTATAATGTTATTTGTTTATAAAAAATATAGGATGCAATTAATATGGATGAAGCCATCACTCTTAAGTCTCAATGCATAGTTTTATTCTTTTGTTTCGTAAACATTTAATTCTATGACTCATCTTGAGTTGGTAATTGAGCGAAGAGAGTTTCAACCCTATGAAACTCATTTCTTCACTCTCTTCTTCAAACCATTGTCACGTCATAAAAAACACATGTGTCAGTCTATTAAATCTAAATTAAACTCTAATGAAACTCCCATTGCAACATACCTAACTAATGAAAAGAAAATAAAGGTCTTTTTTTGCCTCCTATTGTCCAACACTATCGTCGTAATATAAATTTTCTCATGAGGATCTGAAATCTGGTAAAGTAGCATTTAAATTACCTTTTTACACCAGTTAGGAACGGTTTTTCATGTGATTTTTTTTTTTAAATTATAAGATTCTAGTAAAGACTTAATAAGGTTTCAAAACCATAAAAGATCTCTCTAAGTTTTTAAAAATTTGAAAAAAAAAGAATCTTAGAGATAGATTGGGACACGAGAAATCCAAATAAAATATCTAGAGAACAAAAGCTTCTACAAATTTAGCTCTAAGAAAATGGGAAAAGTATCAAGAAACATTTGAAATTTTTTCTAAAACATTCTAATCAATATGTAAACATGTTTTTTTTAACTTTCCATGACAAAAATATGAGATACAACCAGTATCAATGCAACATACATTAATGTTTAATGCATTCATGTAGGTCGCATCTCATGTTTTTATTGTGAAAAGTTTATAAAACATGCGGTGTTTATTATATATTTTCAGAATTTACAATAGTTTTATGGATATTTTCCTATTTTGTTGTAGACTTGTAGCTAAGTCTATTTTAAGCTTTTATATATACATTAATGAGCACTAAATATTTAATTTGGGTTTATAGTATGCAAATGTATCTCTAAAAATTTGACTATAATTTTAAAGTTTATGATAGGTTTTTTTGTGGTTTGAAAACCTTATAGGTGTTTACTGGAATTTTTTAAATTAAATAATGACAAAACCACCATGAAACACACTTTTAACATAGGTATTTTAAACAATTTTGAGAGTTAAGGGAGGTGGTTTACCTAGTGTTAGAGTTTGAGGAGGAAACCTAGACTATAACAATAATTCAAAAAGGTAAAAGGGACCTTTTCTAAGTAAAAATTATATATCGGCTCGTCTTCCTATATTTGTACTGTAAAAATGTAGAATTAGATCCTCAACATAGTTCCTTTTCACTTTTGTTTTATTGGGTGTCAAAGTACGCCACTAGTCAGCATGGCCTTGCCACCGTGGATCCTAGTGGAAAGGAAGGATAGTGGGTGCACAAAAGGATTTCATTTCCGTTGCCCACTAGAACATCGGTGTGGGGGGTATAACCCCAGGTACCCACGGCAATGAACATGGGCCACACCGCCAGGGGAGGTCCAGCCCATAAGATCAAGGCCTACGATGCTCGGCTCTGGTCGGCGTGCACCGCAAGGCAATCAGAAGACATCTTGGCGATGAAGAAAGATCTGTTCGGATATGAATTTCATGTAAATACTTACCATATAGTTGAATACATCTAGACTTAAACCGACCTGTAACCCTACCCTCCAGACTATATAAGGCGGGTAGGGACCCCTCTCGAAGGCATCTCATATTCAATACAATCCACCGAAGACACATGACGTAGGGTATTACGTCGATCAGACAGCCCGAACCCGTCTAAATCACTGTCTCTGCGCTTGTGTCACCATCCGGTTTCTATCACGCGCACCTCCACTGATTCATCTACTACCGTGGGTATACCCCTCGGTAGACTGCCGACCAGATTTCATCAACAATGGCACGCCGGGTAGGGGGTGTGCGTGCTGTTTCCATGGCCAACCAGATGGTCACTTTCCCGAGCTCCATGGTCGTTCTCGAGCCGGACCAGATCTTCACGGTCAGATCCATGACTTGGATCATCATCCCCGACGGCAACGGAGAAATCATGGAGACAGTGCAGAATCACCCTGCGTCGATCGTGCCAACATCTACAATGACATCTCCGATCTCGGTGCCTCACCGCTGGGTTAAGAGATCCATCAGCAATGACGATCTGATCACATCCATCGATCGGGTCACAGACCACTTAGCGGAATGCCAGCTCCTCGTGGATTCGGTCTTAGATCAATCTAGAGCGAGCGACGAAGTTCCTGCACTCCAAGGTCACCATGCCAGTAATGCCGAGCACCCTGCTCGTGCACATCGTCCGAGGTGGCAAGATGAAGATTTGGTGATCACGGCAACTCTGGAAAGGTGTACCATTCAATGTCGACCACTCCCCACGCCCGACGGAGAACATGCCGAGGCCCTATTCTTTTGGGCTGGTGGGTGCGGATCCGATCTGTCGGGACGCCCTGCACCATCTTTTCGCCGACCACACCAAGCGTAGCTACGTCAATGACCTCTACCAGATCGACCTCATTGAGGCCGACCAGCCTGCGCGAACGGTAAACATGGTGCAAATCTGGCACCTTTCGGATGACATGCTCCATACAATCCTAGAGGAAAGCCCCGAGCCATACTCCGAGGGCTCTACCAGCAACTACCCACCTTTCCCTTCAAGCTTTGGGAGAGAGCTTTTTATGGATAGCCACGACAACGTTGATATCAATGGAGAGACCAGTGTCCAGCGCCATGAGCGCGAAGCCAGGAACACTGATCGCGAACGACGTCACAATGAAGAAGCAGAAAACACCGCTCAAGCCACCAGAGGTGGCCCGCCGCCTCTCACCCGTAATCTCCAAGAAGAGTTCCTCATGGTGGACAGTTAGCGAGTGGAGCAGATGCCGAGCGCCAATCTGGCTATGGCCACCCACGAGTTGGCTAGACTTCCACAAACGCCAGAGATACTCAAGATTCAAGCGCTGCTCAAAGCAGCCCAGGCCAAGGTCAACGACATCTAGAATTGGATGTGGCCACCCGCGAATTGGCTAGATAGTGAGGCCATCTTCGCTTTCACTAGAGGACTCCACCGTCAGGAGCTATGCTCCAAACTTTAACGTAAGAGGCCCAGACCATCGGCGAACTCCTCAAGGTTGCAAACTCATACGCAGACTCCAAAGAAGCTGATCGGCAGTTCAAGGACGACGTTGCTCGTGCTTCCTGCTTAGATTCCCACCCACGTCGTGATGATGATTGTCGCGAAGAATGACGTTATGAAGATCACGCTAGGCGCTACGACGATCGTGAACATCGTCATAATGATCGGCCAGAGGGATTAAGGGCTGCACAACCACGTCGCCACTAACCAAAAACTCCATTAACACGTAGAGCAGCCACACGCTAAGCGAAATTTCAATGCTGCCTATGAAGAACTCCTTGACGGTCCATGCTTAATTCACAAGAACTGCAAGCACACCATGTGGCAATTCCATGGCATGGACAAAGCTTTTTGTGATGAGGAGCAGAAACGACGAACGCACAAGGACGACAAGTCAGACGATGGCAAAAGGGAAGGAGTGTCCTACGGATGCACGACCCACTACCCAAGATGCCAACAAGACTGTGACCACAATCTCCGAAGGGTACGCCACTTACGAGAGCAAACGCCAGCAGAAGCTCACCGCTCGGCAGGTCATGTCGATCATCCAATACGGCATAGTCGCTGATCCTAAATATCTAGACTGGCCGGAGTATCCTATCACATTCAGTAGGGCCGACTAGTGGGCAGATATCCCATACCTAGGGCGTTTCCCACTCGTGTTAAATCCCACCATCCGCAATGTGTGGTTCAAGAAGGTCCTCATCGACGGTGGGAGTGACCTCAATATCCTCTTCGCCGAAGCCCTAACTGAGTTAGGCCTCACAAAGGACGATCTCGTCCCTGTTGATTCTCCATTTTGGGGTATTGTACCTGGCAGAGCGTCCCAACCTTTGGGGCAGATCACCTTGCCAGTCTAGTTTGGCACCACCGACCACTTCCGTACTGAGTATGTCAACCTCTTCGTGGCAGACTTCGACACCGCTTACCACGCCATCCTTGCCGACCAGCTCTCGTCAAGTTCATGGCCGTACCCCATTATGTCTACCTAGTGTTGAACATCCCAACGGAACAGGGCGTTCTCACCCTGTGTGCCAACGTCTTCACCGCCTATGACTGCAAAAGAGAAGAACTCGCCATCGCTGATGCGATGGATCTCTCAGCCGGAA